TGGGCGCAAGGAGTAGGTGGGTGGGGAGACAATGTCCAGTGGGGGGTGCAGCACTCCTTCCGGGCAGCTCTGGGGCGGGGGGACTCTGTTTTGCCCTGATTATCCCGACCCGGTTCCCTCTAAGCCCTTTCCCAGCCGGGGGCCCAGCCATCACCTCCTTCCCGCCCTGCCCCTCACCTGTGGGCTCCCGGCTGCGGGCCTCCTGAAGGTATCTCAGCGCACGTGCGTAGTCGCCCAGGTGGTAGAAGGCAATGCCGGCGCGGTAGGTGGCCTTGAAGTTGCCCTGCTGCTTCTCCAGCACCTTGAGGCAGTACTCCCGCACGCGCTCATAGTTCACCAGCTCCGACTGCAGAAGGCAAGCTGCAGGGGCGCCGGGCGTGTACTCTTAGAGTCTGGTGGCAAATCTAGAACCCACGTGACTTCGAGGAGTCTGGTCTCCCACCTACAGGGAACCTGGGTCCTACCCCATTGGGGGCTAAGGCCACCAGGAGGCGCCAATCTGCTGTCCCATCAGAATAGGCTCAATCTGCGCCGCCGCTAGAGGGCGCGAAAGACAGATACGCTCCGGTGATTAGCAAGGTTTCGGTAGACAAGAGTGTTAAGGGTCGCCGCAGAGGCGAGGGACTAGGCATAGAATGGCTAGCCCTTCTCATCTTAGGGTCACTATTGGCCGGGGGCAGAAAAATGGGAAGTGGGATTCTGAAGACCCAGATCAAAGCCCATTTCCTGCATCTCAGCTCCCTCCATTCAGAGACCCAGAGCTTTGATCATCTGCCCTCAACTCCTTGCCTTGATCAAGTTTCTGAGGTCTCTCTCAACAGACCATGCATGGCTGTGGCCCCTTCAGCCTCCAGCCCCCGCCCGCGGTCCCCAAGACCTCCTGATGGTCCCTCACTTCCCGCTTCTCTCACACATGCCCCTCTGCGTGTCCCCCGATGGCCCCGTACCCGTGAGAGAGTCATAACATTCCACCTCCGTGTTCTCCACCAGGCGCCGCTGCTCCTCGCTGAGGCGGGCGGGCCCGGGGCTGGTGGCGGGCCCGGGGGCGGGGGCGGGCAGGCCTCCAGGGCGGGCCCCCTGCGCCGCCTTCAGCTGCAGCAGAGCCCGGTGGTACTTGCCGATGGCTTCCCGGAACTTCTTCTCTCGATAGCAGCGCTGGCCCTCCGCCTTGAATGCCACGGCGGCCCGCAGGCTGCTGTCGAGCGCCGCAGCCAGCGCCCCCGACGGCTCTGGGGCAGGACCCGGTCGAGCCGAGCCATGGCGGGGGCCTGGGCCAGGGCCCGGCGGGGAGAGGGCGGGAGGCGGGCGCGGCGGAGGCTCCGGGGCAGCGCTGAGCATCAGCACCGGGGACAGCGCGCCGCGCTGCATTGTGGGAAACTCCTGCGGCCGCCGCTGCAGCTACCGCATCGCCCCCCGCGGGGCCGGTCCCCACCCTTTCTCCGCCCCCGCACCTCCGGCTGCCGATTCCGGCTGCCCCCTATGGGTCTAGAGAAGCCCCTCAAGACTTTCCCTTCTTTTCTTCAAACCAGCCCCAGTCATTCTCCTCTCCCTTATTCAACACTCCTCTCACCCGCCCGCCCTCTGTCTGCTCTCCTCCCCCGTGTCCAAAGCTCCCGAAGATTTTCAGCAGGAAAAGATGGGCCCAAGGGGAGGACCTGAAGATATCAACCTCGCAAAAAGCTGGTTTTCAGCCCACTAAACATTTGGTGTATTGGATATAAACACGGAATAGGGATTCAAGCTGTCTACATCAAATTCCCTTTATTTTCTCGCTAGTTGTATCTCACTTAAATTACCTGGAACTCGGAATCCAGTCACGTGGGTTAATAATATCCACCTTGGAATTCATTCACTTATTTATGCAACAAAAAACTATTCACTTTATCTTTTCTGTGTCTGGCTCTGTTCTGTATGATTCTGGGATGCACTAAAGCCCGAGGACTTCAGACCTTACCCTCACCAGGCCCACCCCCCCCCCAGGCCAGAAGAGCGGCAGACCTGTGACCAACAGTGACAGCCCACAATGGACTAGCTAGAAAGAGCAAGAAGAGAGTTCAGGACTGAGATGGTGGAGGCATAACAGAAGGCAAGGGCTCAGAGGAGGCACCTGCCCTTGGCAGAGGTGGCGAGTGAGGGCTTCCTGGAGGAGGGGATAACTCTACAACCGAGAGAGATCGGCCTCTTGTGCTCAGCGAGCTCACCTCCTGTGAGAAAGCAGACTCGTCCCCAAGAAGTCCCCGAGAGAGAGGCACACTAATGAAAGAATATGCAGGGAAGGAGACGTGGGAGGTTCACAAAAGCAAAACGGGGTGAAGGGGACGATTGCCCTGCAGCCCTCCTTAGCCCCCCACTCAGCTGTGTGACCTCTGCCAAGTTCTCGGATCTTCCACTTCGACTTCCTTCTGTGACACGAGAATGACAAGTAAGTTTACCTTAGGTGAGGACTGAATTCTATCATGCAGGCAAAGCACTCAGCACAGGGCCTTGGTACAGTCATGGGTGATTTCTTACCATTTTATCCTCAGGTATTTAGCCACAAATACCTGACTTGGCCTCAGCATTGGTATGTACTTGTTTTTTAAATTTTTACTGAATTATGGTTGCACATAATGGCAGGATTTGTTTTACATATTTGTACATAATGGAACAATAATTTGGCCATACCTTTCCCCAGCATTTCCCCTTTCCCTCCCCCTGTACTGATCTCCCTTCCATTTTCATGAGACTCCCCTCCCACCGCCACACCTTTTCTTTCCTTTTTCCCCCTCTAGCTTCCAAATAGGAGAGAAAATGTGGCCCTTGACTTTCTGAGTTTGGCTTATTTCACTAACATAAGGTTCTCAAGTTCCATTCATTTTCCTGCAAATGATAATTTCATTTTTATGACTAAAACTCCATTATGTATATGTGTATATATATGTGATACATGTATAGATGTATAAACATACATAGACGTACATATGCATATGTATCACATTTTCTTCTCCCATTCATTGATGACACCTAGGATGGTTCCATAGTTCAACTATTGTGAATTGTGCTGCTATAAACATAAAATGCAAATGTCATTAGACTATGCATTTTACGGAGGAGTGGTATGGCTGGGTCATATGATAGCTTTATGTCTAGTCTTTTGAGGAACCTCCATACCAATTTCCATAGAAGTTGTACTAATTGACAATTCCACCAACAGTGTAAAAGTGTTCCTTTTTCTTCATATTCTCTCCAGCGTTAACATTTATATCTAATTGTCGAATTAGTAGTGAATAATCTTATGTATCTCCACTGTCACCTTAGGGGCACATCCTCTCCCTGGCAGAGTTCCAAAATTCCATGGCAGGCCCCACCCAATAGCCAAAACCTGAAATCAATACCTCCCATCCCAGTGGCAGCAGCTGACTCTGTTATTGTAATTTTTGTAAATTTCTTTTACTGAATAAATCCCTCCCCTATTCCCCGGGTCCAACATGAACACCCCAGGCATGGAAATATCTTCCTCTCTGCACCTCCAAACCCAGGTTTGGTTAGGAGTCTAAAGTCCCCGAGTGTGAATCCCAAAATCACACTAACTTTTCTGCACCTCAGGGGTGTCTGTGTGTGTGTGTGTAGTTTTTTTTTTTTTTAAATGGAAAACATGGAAATCCATTGATTTATAACCAATGTTTTCTGACATATTAACTAGCTAGGTGCTAGGGCACAGTGGTAATTGTGGGTGGTTGTACCTCACTCCCAGTCATTCTAGGATACAATGCAAACACTTTTACTTCTATTGTCCCCCTTGCCCTAAAGCTTTGCATACATATTTGCCACAGTCTGGCTGGGCACACAATCACGAGCCACCACACAGCTTGTAGATTCAAACAGCAACTCTTTATTCCCGAGCTCACACCAGCCGTCTACAATCACGTTCTGGGGAAATCCACGTTCTCTGCCCAAATCCACGTTCTCTGCCCAAATCCACACCCACTGGGCTTCTGTCTCCCAAAATATATTGTCTGAATCCCATGAGAACTCAAGGGGAACTCAGGCAGCAGGATACGCCCTATTCCCAGGAGGAATAATCTTAAACCTTAAACCTGGAACCTAAACTGGGAACGCCCTGAACACGATTATCTTAAACCCGGAACACCCTAATCCGCCCTGGTCCTTGAGCAAGGTCACCTACATTCAATGTCACTGCAACATGGGGTACGCTGGCAAGGAAATTGTCATACCTACTTACTTGGCTAATGGCTCCCAGCACATATTAACTCACATACCACACCACTGTGAGGTTGCTGCTCTAGGTACTGACATGTGGCACTTTCAGGGTTAACTAAATCAAACTCCATTTATTGATTTCTCTCAAGGACTCTAACCAACTGATGACCTTCACAGGCCAGCATATGTGATGTGTTGGGCTTGTACAGCCATTAAAAAGGACTAAATGATGCCAGGAATGGCGACTACCATATGTATAATTGCAGCAGCTCAGGAGGCTGAGGCAGGAGGATCGTAAGTTCAAAGTCAGCCCCAGCAATTTAGTGAGGCCCTAGGTAACTTAGCGAGACCCTATCTATCTCAAAAAATAAAAAGGGCTGGGGATGTCTCTCAGTGGATAAGAGCTCTTAAGTTCAATCCCCAGTACAAAATAAAGAAAAATAAATAAGTTAGAGTTTGTTGAGAACATAAGGCAGAGATGTTTATGGAATTGCAGATTTTTAGACTCACTTGAGTGAAACCTGAGAAGCTGGCACCACGAAGGTAGAATTCTTCAGGACTGGGGCGGGCATCTCGGTTGCCCTCAGTTCCTGTGTTCCCAGCCCTGAGGCCCCGTTTTCCTAGCTGAGGCTCCGGTGAAGTCCTCCAGTGCCCCCTGGCGGAGGAGTTGAGAATTTGCATTTTCTCTCTCCTCAACTAAGAACTAGGTAAGGATATCCAATCAGAGGGAGGAGAGGCCTAGGGAAGCGACCAATCAAAAGCGAGAAGGGGACAGAATTGGACAAGTAGGACCCAGCGCGCTCAGAATAAAAGAGACTCTTTTATTAAGGTGGGGACGAACACACAGTGAGAGTTTGCGTTTGTTTTCTGGGTGGGTCGTGGCGCTCAAGGAGGCCCAGGCTGGGGGCGCCGGAGCAGGAGGGCGGCGGCGAGGCTGGTGCCCTGGCGCTGGGGCCGCGCGTACTTGAGGAAGACCGCGGCGCGGCCTGGCGCCGGGCCCCGCAGAGAGGCGCGGACCATGCACCGCTCGAGGGGGTCCAGCTCCGCGGAGCTGCAGTGGAGAGAAGGGGAGACTGAGGCAGGGAAGGGGCGGGGAGAGCCTATCCCCGGGCCGAAGGCTCGAAGCTGAAAAGATGTTTGACACGGGCCCCGGGGGCGGCCCCCTCGAGGTCGTGATGGGGGCACTGAATGCGGCCACAGGGAACCCAGAGATCCCATCTGCCCCCCGAGGCAGGCCGAAGGGCCCCCCAGCCTGCGCACACACCCCTATCCACTCACATCCCCCAGAGAAAGACAGACCCTTCCGGGCATCCTCTCCCCCACCCAGAGACATCGAGTCCAAGTTGCTCCCCGTCCCAAATTGTCTTATCCTGACATGGGAAAGACCCAGAAGGGAGCGACCCAGAAGGGAGGCTATCTGAAGCGGCGGAGACCTACCACCGCCCTCTGCCAAGGCCACACCTGTAAAGCATTGGCTTGGGCCTGGAGCCCGCTCCGTCGAGCATGCGTTGCGCCAGGTTCAGCGCCGCAGCTGCGCGACGACCAGGCTCCCATCCCGCAGCCTCAGCCTCCAGTAAGGACAGCTCCAGGAAATAGGTGGCCAGCAGCATCACCTGCCAGAGAGGCCGGGTGAACCTCAGGCTACGGCTGGCCACGCTGCTCCCTCGCACAGGCCACGCCCTTACCCATGCGCACCTGGGGGCCACTCCCGGCCAGCGCGGTGAGCAGCTCCAGGCACAGCAAGGGCCCAGGATAGTGCAGTCGGAAATCCAAGCGGCTCAGGATGCGGCGCTCTGCGCGCAGCAGCTCTGCCCTCGAGAAGGAGCCGGCACTCAGAAGGCAGAGGGAGGCAGGCTGAGGATTGCGGGGAAAGATGTGAGGTAGCCTTGGACTCCCAGCCCTGGAGCACCTGGGGTCGGCTCAGTCCAAGTTTCAGACCTCAGTTTCCTGGTCTGTAAAACGGGGCCATTGACTTGTGTCTGAAAGTCGTGGATGTCACGAGCATCAGAGTCATAATGACCGGGTTCAATGTACCATTTATCCACTATGTGACATGGGACATTCGTTTCCGCTTTCCATTTCTTCTTCACCCTTAAAACCGAGATGATACTCCCTACTTCATGACACAGCTTTGAGTTTATGCATGTTAACGCTCAAGGGGGACTATGACTACTGTATTCAAGATGGAATCCAAGTTTCAGCTGTTTAAATTCCGGGCAAGAGTTCCCTTATGGTCCGTTTCCTCCTCCTGTTAAAGGGACACATTAGCAGCCCCGTGCCTCGTACAGATTCGTTAGGATTCCAAGAGTACACGAAGAGTTTGGCGCACGGTGGGCATTTAATCAGTGACTACAGCAAAGGCTCCACCCTCCCAAGCCCCAGCCCGCGAATACCTCGGGAAGCACGCACTCTTCCATCTTGCACGCCAGGAACAGGCAGGCCATGCCCAGCAGCTGCAGGCGGTGAAGGCGCACTCTGCCGGCACGCAGGTAGGAATCGAGCAGGTGCACCGCCAGGTAAAGTGTGTCTCCTGCCAGGCACAAGTACTCCTGGGGAGAGGCACAGGTGACCATCAGGGTCTCAGGTAGTGACAGGGAACCAGCCTCGCACCCTCTCCACTTACGTACGTGCACCTGGACCAGCCAGTCCACCACTAGCGCACGCATCTCTGGAGTCACTGGGCGGGGCAGGGGTCTCCGGGGCAGCGCGTGGCACACCTGGGGATGGGCAAGACAGGCCTCATTCTCCACACCTGTGCTTCTGTCGCTCTTGAGCTCCAGCCCGGGGTGCAACAGCCTCCTCCTGCAAAGTTGGATGTAGCAGGAGTGCCACACTGAAATCCGCCTCAGCTGCACCTCTTCCACAACCCCATCTGGAATCCTGGACTTCACTGTAGATACCTCCCTATCCACCTGTCCACTGTGGAGCCCCCATGGCCACACAGCTTCCTGGGCATCTTCCCCCGTCTGGGTTTTCAAATTCCACTCTTGGCCACCAATCCTCAAATCCATCCCCCTCAGAGCACCCAGAAGGGTCCATCCAAAGACAGATCTGACCAAGGAACCTCAGACCCTTAGGAGAAAATCCTAATTCCTGTCAGACTCTCAGACCCTGCCCCCAACCGATGTCACCTCTTCCCTCCCAACCCACATTTCGGCTACACCAGCCTTCTCTTGTTTCAGACTACATCAAGTTTATTCCTACCCCAGGGCCTTAGTGCTTACCTTGCCTCTGCCTGTAATTGTCTTTCCCTTACTCTTTGCATTACCTTCTGAGTCTTCAAGTCTCAGATAAAATTTCCCTTTCTCCATACTCCTCCCTCCATCCCACCCCTCATTATCTCCTATTTCCTTAGTATTTTCACTAAAGATAGCCATTGTTTCCCCGTGTGTGTTGTCTGCTGGCCCTGCTAGGCTGCCAGCACCACAAACGCCCTGAGCTACATACCCCCAGCTCTTTTTGAGACAGGGTCTGTTAAGTTGCCCAGGCTGGCTTTAAACTTCTGATCCTCCTGCCTCAGCCTCGGGAGTTTCTGGGATTACAGGCACGTGCCACCATGCCCAGCTCTTTGGCCCCTTTTGTAAGGACATCATCCCATTCATGAGGCTCGGTCTCTCTGGTCTGGTCAGCTCTCAAAGACTTCAACCCCTAATACCTTCCTACCGGAAATGTGGGTTCAACCTAAGAATTTGGGAACACAGCATTCAGCCTCCAGCAAAGGCTGAGCCCTGTGTTCCGATCACAGGGGCATCTCAGTTCCTGGCAGAGAACCTGGCCCTGGGGAGAGACTGGCGGGTGTTGGCTAAGCTCGCTCCAGCACCTCTTCAGGCAGTGGCATCTCGTGGAGACGGACGCCTGCCACGACCTGTGTGCTGGCCTTTGTGGCCTTCTGTAATTATCAAGTATATTTGCTAGCTGTCTCCCCAGAACGAGGACAGACTGTGGCTCATCGCAGCAGCTCCGGTGCCTAGGACATGCTCAAAAGCGCGATAATAAAGGGTTAAGCGTTTGTTAAGTGAACTCAGGAGGCACAAATAGGGTAGCCACGGGCTTTCGAAGGAAGGGCTGCCAACAGCCAGAGACCGCGGGAAGGGGTTTCGGTAACTGTGCGAGGGGAAAAAAAGAACCGCCTAGAACTTGAGATCTGGGGTGGGGGCCGGCGCTGGGAAGCCGGACGCGAGGCTGCGGCGCCGCAGGCGTGGACGCCCCGTGGAGCGGAGAGCCCGCCAGGCCCGGCGCCATCCGACCCGAACCCAGGCTGCGCGCCAGGAGTGGGACGGCGCCAGGGTCGCCCGCTCACCATGACTTCAGCGAAGATGTCCCCAGCGTACTCGCGTTCCCCCTCCAGCCCCAGCGAGCTCAGGGCCTCCTCCAGCCCCGGCGGCGCGCACAGCCTCTCGGGGCGTCCCGGGGAGACACTGGTGTCCCCGTCGAGGACTGGGGCGCTCGGAAGCTCTGAATCGAGGGAGGCATTAGGACTCTGAAGGGAAGAGGGGCTGGGGTCAGTCCCTGGAGAGAGGCCCACGCGGCAGCTGGGCCCCGTCCCCGGTCCCTGCCCCTCACCAGCATCCTCGGGCCGAGGCAGCGCGCCAAGCCGAGCCGGCGCTTTCAGGAAGGGCGGGACCCGCGCCGGGCGCTTTAATTAGTCCAGGCGCATGCGCAGTGGGCTCCCTTCACCTGGGCAGGTGCAAATGCAAAGACAAGGGTCGGTAGGCAGGCTCTGCCTCCTCCACAGGCCTAAGGTCAGGGGCTAGTGACAAATGCTCATCCTGCTGCCCAGAAGCCGCCGCCCTGAGCCTCGTTTTCCTCAACCATAACACAGGGATTGCAGCCAACAGGGCTGTCCTAAGGATTTCCTAGGACTGTGCAGGGATCAGCACGGAGCCTGCTACCGGAAAAGCTGAAGGCGTGGGAGTGTTAAGGAACGGCTCTGTGCGCCGGCTCTTCAGTGATTGAATCACCTGTGGGTCCTGCCTTGCAGCTGCTCTCCCTGGGTCCATGCCCCACACTTTGTGCCCAACATGCAGCCAGAGGGATCCTGTGCACACCTAATGCAAATCACACCCTCCGTCTGTTCAGAGCTACACCAGGGCTCCCTTCTCCCTCAAGTTGAAGGCCCAGCTCACCTATGTCTTCTGCTTCCATCCCCCACATAAGCCTCTGAGCTCATCTGTCCATCCCCCTCACTCAGTCCCCCCCAGCCACCCACACTGGCCTCTTCCTCATACCTGAGGCCTTTGCACTGAGTGTTCCCTCTGCCAGAAATGCTTTTCCCTCAGACTGTTTCCCTCCCAAACTTCCTTTAAGGTATTTATTTAGATGTCACCTTCTCCATGAAAAGTGCCATTCTAAGCACTTCTCATCCCATATTCTCTGCACTTATTCTCTCCTTAGCACTTATTGCTTTCTAACCAACCAATGTTCGTGAGCCCCATGATGGCAGGGCTTCTTGTCTACCATTCTCCTATTGCTGTATCCCCAGTACCTAAAACAGTGCCTGGCACATAGTCAGTGCCCAATAAATACTTGTTGAAGGAATGAGTGAACAGGCTAGACATAATTTAGATAGTGGCCCAGCATGCCTTTCTGAGGTGGGACAATGGAGCTGAAACCTGAAGGAGGAGAAAGATCCAGACTGTAAAGAGAGGGCAGAATATTCCAAGAGGTGGGACCAGCATGAGCAAAGGCCCTGAGGCAGGAAACAGCTTGTTAGTTTCAGGCACCAAGTCAACAACACTGGGAAAAGTGAACAGGAGAGAGAATTGGATATTGGATCAGTGGCTTCCAGTCACACAGTGAAACCCGTTTGCCCATTGTTACATGTGTCACCTCATTTCCTTCTTTTCCCCCACCTCCACTTGAGAAATCCTGGCCTCTTTATGTCCCCCAGATGGTGAAGAGACCCGAGAGATACTACCCTAACCAAGAGATCAGAGTCATCCCCAGTTAAGGGACAAACGGTCATCCTGTGCCTCCTCATAGTGTGATCTCAGGAAGGCATGTCACTTCTGGAAACTCTGTCCCAAATAGTTGGAATTTAACCCTGGGGAAACATCAGGCAATAAGCTCTGATTGAGAACAGTCTGCAGTATACTTACCCTGTGGGCTTCCAACCTGAAGATGCAGTATGGGAACCTGGTGGACCCATTAGCCAGGGCTTTTTATAACTATGAGGACATTACATGTGACTATTAGTAAAATTTGATTAAGGTCTGTTGACAAGAACATTGTGGCAACATTAACTTTCTGACCTTGATAACTGGACCCTGGCTATGTGAGAAAATACCCTTGTTTCATTACAGATACCTAAATATGAACAGCAGGAAGAGAGAAGGCCAAATAAATGTGATAAAGTGCTACGCAATGCAGTTTTTGTCAATTAAGAAAGTACTACGAGAAACATGGGTGAAGGATGTATTTTATGTTTTTCAGCCTTTTTTTTTTTTTTTTGTTTTCCTTTTCAGTGCTGGGGATTGAACGGGGGGCAGAGCTACACCCCCAGCCCACCCCACTTTCTGAGACAGAGTCTCACTAATTTTCCCAGACTGACCTCAAATTTTCAACCCTCCCGTGTCAGAGATGATGGGATCACAGGCATGTGCCACTATGTCTGGCTATTTTATGCACACACATAAAATTTTTGAGACTTACAGAAAGCTGCAAATACAGTCCCCATCATCCCCACACCGTTTCCCCATTAACATCTTGGTGTGGCACATTTGTCACAGTTAACTGATACTGATGTCATTCACAGAATCTATGCTTTATCCGGTCTTCCTGAGCTTTTCCCTCAACCTTTTGTTTTTTCCCTGCCCCAAGATCCCATCCTGGGAACTAGCCCAGTCAACACTTAGGCTCCTACTGGCTCTGCCACATTCTTAAGAATTTCTTCTAAAGATCTTGACAGTGTTAATATTTTTTTTTAGTTGTAGGTGGTCACAACAATACAATCTCTTTATTTTTATGTTGTGCCGAGGATCGAACCCAGTGCCTCACACACATGCACATGCAAGGCAAGGGCTCTACCACTGAGTGACAGCTCCAGCCCTGGGTGACAGTTTTGAGGGCAGGTCAGCTATTTTGTTATGTCTCCCAACTGGGCTTTGATCAGCTTTATGTTGGTTCGACTGGAGTTTGTGTTTGGGGAAGCCCAGAGGCGGCCAAGCGTCACTCTAGTGACACTCTAGAGCCAGAACACAATGGCTGAGGGCGACCTTGACCACCTGGCCGGCAGAGTTTGTCCAGTCTTCTCTGAAAAATCACTTTCTTCCCATCCTCTGTCCTGTGCCCTTGGAGTCTAGGGCTGGGAATATAGCTTGTCTTGCATGCACAAGGCCCTGGATTCCATCCGCAGCACCACAAACCAATTAAAAAAAAAAAAACTAATTTTTTGACAGTCTAAGTTCCCCGGGCTGGTTTCTGACTTGGAATCCTCCTGCCAGAATTACAAGTGTGCACCACGGCATCTGGCCATGATCCCCTTTTGAAAGCTATGTGACTCATGTTAAAATCCAGGAATGCAGAACACAAATGCGGTTAAGATGTACAGTAAGCTTCATTGCAGCACGCTGGTAGCAGAAAAAAAAAAAAAAAAAGACCACAACCAACCAAAAAAACCTGAAAGCCAAGTAAATTCCTATCAACAGGGGAGACAGGCCCACTTGGGATACATCTGCAAAGTGTTGGCAGGGATGCGCACCAGAAGTCCCTCCAAAGGTGGATGTGTGGGTTAAAGGAACCTCATTCTTACCCATCACCTGATATGCAATATAAATACACACCTTGGTAGGGGTGGGGGCAAGATGTGGCAGGACATGCTCAGGGGTGTGGTGGCAGCTGGAAGGGCTGTGCCTTTTTATGTCCTTCTGTCCACTTGCAAAGAAGTGTATGCACTCAAGACTCCAGGACATGGGGTGATAGTCACTTTCTTCCTTATACTTTTGTTTTATTTATACACAGACACGAAAAAAAAAACTTGTTTAAAATGGACAATGCAGAAGATGGATTAATCTACTTAAAATTTAATTTGCAAAATTTGAAACTCTTCATCCTCAAACTAAGAAGCACCAGTTATCTCAGGGTCACTCCAGTTATCTAAGGGTGTTTCAAGCAAGGGACACAGTTGAGTGACAGTGGTTCCTCTGGTGGATCAAGGATGTACCACCAGACCCAGAGGCAGATGGGATGCACCCACTGCAGGGCCAGCCACGGTGCCTGAAGAACTGCACTCACCTTACCGAGGGCTGCGACTAGAATGAAAAGGAAAGGCTTTTCTTTATAAGTTCCCGATTATCTTAATGCCACTGTGACATACTTTTGTAATTAAAAAGACAATAAGGTCCATATAAAGTCAGAAAACCCAACACGATGGGGTTGGGATGTGGCTCAGTGGTACAGTCTGCCAAGGAAAGCCAGCTGTACCTCTGAGCCACATCCCTAGCTCGCTCTTAAATTTTGAGACAGAGTCTTGCTAAGTTGCTCAGGCTGGCTTTGAACTTGGGGATCCTTCTGCTTCAGCCTCCTCAATCACTGGGATTACAGGAGTGCCCCACTGGTGAAGATTTGTAATCAGGACCAGACCTTCCCATGAGGCTCACTTAAAAATCACAAAGCTTCCCTGTGTGATGCCCTCCTCCCTGCAAAATCTGAAATGAATTCACCTGTGCCAGGCTTGGGAGAGGGAACAGTCCAGCCCAGCCTGTAAGGGCCAGTGACAAGCTGGGGACGGAGGGCAGGTCCAGCTCCCAGCCAGGATAAAAGGCTCCGGGAGTTGGAAAAGTGACTCTAGGAGCTGCAGGAGGCTGTAACCAGGTGCTCTGCTACTCCCAGCTGATGGCAATCGCAAATGCCATCAACACAGATTCTGCTCTGGAATTTGGGGGCCTCAAGCTGCGCGATTTAATATAAATGAGCAAAGAAACTGTGGCAGCGTGTACCTCTCCAGGGCTCAATAACCACATGAAATGAGCCAGCCCTTCCCACTCAGTTCCAGGGCAGGGACACCACACACAGATTGTTTAGAATCCCTCCCCTCTCGCGCCCTGCCCTTGAGTCCAGCCTCCTCTGGCTGGAGCAGTCTCTGTCTGCTCCACCCCAGCCTGCTCTGCAGTTTCACCCCAGCATCCTCCCCTCTGGCCTGGGCTCCCATGTTCATTCCCACTGCCACCTGCTTGACAGGGAACTCAAAGAGCAGTGGAGCAGGAGGTGGATGGTACCTAGGGGCTGGACTCCATAACCAAGCAAGGCTGGGGGTGGCAGCTGGCAAAGTGCAGGCGGGGCCCTGGTCTGAAATGAGTGTCTTTATTGCTTGTACCGTACAAACACAAGGGGTAAGAAGGGCCAGTGGGGACAGGGAGAGCTGTCAGATAAACATCATACACATACGAGAAGGGAAAGAGCCCCCATACCCTCCCCACCCTCCCCACAATGTCTTTCTATGGACTGCCCAGTAGGGAGGAGGATGGGGAGGTCAAACCACAAAAAACAAACCGCACACACCCAGAGACGCTGGGGGCAGGGGGAGCGAGGACATGGGTGGGGAAGCAAGTGGACCCCAGGTACCCGCTCCCCACACACGATGGAGCGCTGGGCGGGTGGGGCCCAAGCGCACACACACCACGCACACTCGAGGGCCCAGACACACTGCCCTCTCACACACACACACACACACACACACACAGCCATGCACACCTGCATCCCAGCAGCTCAGGGACGCCCACGGACACAGTCCACAGCACACACACACACGTGTGCTTACAGCACTGACACGTTCTCTCCATCACGTTCACCTTAAGGCTGCAGAATTTGGGGCCCTGGAGATGGGAAGGGGTGAGGTGGCCTGGGAGCCTCCCTTCTCAGAGGCCCTTAACCCCAGTATGTACCGAAGATGCCCTCCCCTGCCCCTTCTCTCCCCAAGTCCATGGGGCCCAATACTGTCTCGGTGAGATGTGTAACAGCCGAGGCTAGTGCCCTTCTGCCTCAGGCAGAAAGAAGTGGACAATCCTGGCCCCCGTCCTCAAAAGGAGCCAAGGCCAGACCCAGGGTCCAGTGGGAGGTAAGGCCAGCTGGAAGGAAGCCCTGGTAAGGCACAGGGTTGGGGGGCAGGCAGGCTGGCCCCCCATTGTTCCTTCTGCCTCACCCACAGAGTTAGCAGAACAACTTGGGGAGGGAAAGGGAAAGGAAGGGCCAGAAGGCAGTGACCCTCTCCTGGTTCCCCATGACGCAGGGATCTGGCTCCATTCACAAGGAGCCCTAACCCCCGATCCCACCGGTCCCTGGACATTATTGCTTTTCTGACCCCAGTACGGGGGTGGCAGGTGGACCTCCTCTCGCCAGACCCCTGGGGCCTAGGCGACAGGCTGTGGAAGGTGGCACGGGTGCTGTCCGCTAGGCGGCCGTCCCACCAGAGGCAGCTTCATCCAGAAGCAGCAGTGTAGCCAGGCTGCCTGCGTGATGCCCAGCCAGAAATTCAGGCAGGACCCGGGGATCCATGCTTCACCCTCACTGGGGCCTGTTTTTGATTAAAAACCTGAATCCATCCTCCCAACAGCCCATGCTGGGGTAGGAGGTGGACAGTCCCTCCACACAAAAGGGAGGTTAGAGGCCAAGGCTGCAGGGACCACTGAGGTGAATTTGGGGGAGGACTGAAGAAGGAACTGGAAATGGGGGTGAGAGAGTGAGGGATGGGGACACAAACCAAAAAGGCAAAATAAAAAGTCTTTTTAAAAAGCCACCCAGTTGGTGGATGGTGGCCATGCAGGAGTCCTGTGGTGGCAATGGGCTGCTCACTCCCGGATGCTGGCTGAGTAGGAGAACTGAGGGAAGTGCGTCCGCTGGTCCAGCTCCAGAGAACCCAGGCTGTCATCTGTGGGTCAGGAGGAAGCGTATTTGGGGTACTGGCCTGCAGAGGGCCAGAGGCACCCACAGACTCCCTCAGGATACACCCAGAGGAAGGATTGCAATGGGGTCACAGAATGAACCCAGCAGGAAGTTCCAGCAAGATTGGAAGGGATGGCTCAGAGGCACCTTCCTGACAGAGCCGCCGCAGCCATGTGCCTCCCCCAGGCCCTGGGTAGTCTTGTGTGGGGAAACTCCACAGGCCATCACCCTGACCCTGTGTCCTCTCAAGTGTCCTCCTCCCATTGTCTCCCCATGCCATCACCAAGGTCCAACCCAGACGCCTCAGGCCCAGTCCCCTACCCTGGCTTGCTTCAATCTACCCTCCATGTGCAGCCAGGGGATTGCACAGAACCCTCCCATGGTTCTCACCCCGTGTTCCTGGGATGCTCCCAACTCTGACCCCCATGCCTCCTGCCTCTTCCCTGAGCCCACAGCTACCCTGTCTGCAGCCTGTCCCTTTGACTGCAAAACTCTCTCCACTACTGGAACCAACATGCCACTCTTGCCAGAAAGCACAGGCCAGGTGAGGCACTTCCTCCATGAGACCCCAGTCCCTGGGCTTCTACACCAGGCTGACTGCTCTGGGCTGTCACAAAACCTAGACTGGGAGCTCTCCAACAGCAGGGCCCAGGGATGGCTGGGTCACTGCTGTGAGGCTTTGGAGTAAAAACACAAATAGCTTAAGAGTCAATGAACTAAAAAAAAAAAAGTCAATGAGCTCATTTAGCCCAAAGACCCCAGCCACCTCCTGACCAGTGCTTTCCCTGCAGCTCTGGACTGCGCTGTAACCAATGGCTCCTGGTGACCCTCACCAGACCAAAAAGAACCCAGCAGCAAAAGGCCTGCAAGCAGATGTTAGGGCAAACTGCCCAGAGGCAGACCCCACCTCTCCTCCACCCAGGCAGGCACTGTGATAGCCAACGGGGCCCCCAGACACTCACAGCGGTCCGGGGGTGTGATTGTGATGGACTGGGCGGTGAACTCGTCATCAAAGTACCTTGTGTCAACCTCAGATGTGACCTGAGGCTTGAAGGGTGGCAGGAGCTATGGAAGAGAATAGCCCAGACTCAGGGACCCTGAGGACAGGCCTTGACCTAGGTCACCCACAAATGGAACAGGCCCCCAGGAGTTGCTGGAGGCACACAGGTGGGCACTCACCTTCTTTTGCACCACATCCTGCCAGTTGATGCTGAGGAAGAACCTGTGCTCCATGACCTCCTTGGCATCGCTGGGCCCCCCACCGAGCCTGGGCAGAGACGGCCATCAGCACCTATCTCCCAGAGCAGCTGGGTCTGGGAGATGGGCTTCAGTGCAAGCAGGCCAGAGCCTCCAGCGGGAAGTATCTGCACAGCCTTTCGCAATTCTGTCCCAGCCACAAACCACCACTTCACAGAGGGGGAAGCCAAGGCTCAGGAAGGGGCGCTCATGACCACCTGGTCTCACAGCCTGCCTCACTGAGTCCAGCAAGAGTGGGCAGGAGGGCTTGGCCACAAGACTGCCCAGTCCTCAAAATCCCCAAACCCCATGGAAGGGCAGGGAGGGCCAAGCATGGGCCTGGCCAAGGGGAAGCCCTTCAGGTGCTAGCTGTGTCTACCACAGGCTGCATGGGGGATGACATACTGCAGGCCCATAGCAAGTGCACCTGTAGACACTGCTCTCTCTAGGCCAAGGGCAGCGGCAGCAGGTAGCACTGAGATGGGCAGGCAGATGCCAGCCCTCACCTCTGCTTAGGGTCCTTTTTCAGCAGCCCAGCCAGCAGGGACTTGGCCTCGGGACCAAGCGTGCGTGGGAAGCGGATCTCCTCCATGAGGATGAGCTCAAAGAGGCGCTCATGGTCCTGGTTGTAGAAGGGCAGGCGGCCGCACATCATCTCGTACATGACCACGCCCAGCCCCCACCAGTCCACGGCCCGGCCGTAGTCATTGTCCTCCAGCACCTGGGGAGGGAGGGGCAATAAGCAGCCAAGCCACAGTCCAGGGCCAGGCAGGGGAGAGAGGAGTCAGTTTTGCCCTCAGCGTCTAAGCCAGGCAGGCACACAGGCCCGGGGGCCCTCCACCCTTGGCCTACGTGTTCCTGGGCCCCCAGCTCCAGACACCTCAGGTGCCAGGTACTCCGGGGTCCCACAGAAGGTTTTCATGGTGGCACCGTCACTGATGCCCTCTTTGCAGAGGCCAAAGTCGGTGATCTTGATGTGGCCATCTTTGTCCAGCATGAGGTTTTCCAGCTGCAGGAAAAGTCAATAGATGAGGGGAACATCCTCATCTTCTGTCACCAGGCTTCTGTCACCAGCCTTCCCCTCCAAGGGGCAACAGGCTTGGGTGGTAACTGTCCAGCCAGCAGCTCCTCAGCACTGACTCCTGGGGCCAGGATGAGCCCAGTGCATGGCCACACAGGCTGAGGCGCAGAGGGAGGCCAGGCCCAATGCCTCCCTTCCTCTAGCCACCCCAGGCAAGCTGAAGGAGCCAGGCCCTGCTCCAGCTGCTGCCTCTACTGTGGGCTGCAGTTACTTAACATCCAATTGGAACTGAGGGCACTATCCTTCTTCTATTTTTTATTAAACTTTTTTTCTTTTAATTATGATACACACACCACAAAAGAAACAGAAAACACAAATGAGAGAGGCAGTAGAGCCTCTGTGCAAACTGTGAGGTCAAGAAATAACATCAGCAGCCCTCTGGAACCCTAATGTGCCCCTTCCCAGGTATTAACTATCTCCCACCCCAACCCCCACCCCCACAGTGAAAAGCAACTTTTTTTTTTTTAGGTACCAGGGATTGAGCCCAGGGGCACCTAACCACTGAAGCACATCCCCAGTCCTTTTTATATTTTATTTTGAGACAGGGTTTTGCTAAGTTACTTAGGACCTCATTAAATTGCTGGGGCTGGCCCTGAACTCATGATCCTCTGTCCTGCCTTACTTAGCCTCTCAAGTTGCTGGGATTAGGCATGTGCTACCGTGCCCAGTGAGAAATCACTTTTTTAATTCCTTGCTTTTCTCTATAGTTTTGTTTTCTTTTGTGGAGCTGGATATGGAACTCGGGGCCTTGTGAATGCCTGCCACTGAAATACCTCAGCCCTTTCCTCACTGGTTTTGACATCTACGAGTACACCTGTGAGCAGTGCTGGACGTGTCCCACCTACTCTGGCCTTTCCCCCGACTCCAGCCTATGAGCTGCATCAGCACCCCTGGGCAGCTGGGCTGCACTCTCTGCTGCAATCCTGCCGTGGAGACACCACAGTGCACCGTGCCTGTTCCACAGCAGCAGGCATTCTGAGCTAGTAACAGTGCTGCTCTGAGTACACGCACACTTTCTGGGGTGAGCACGTGTCCCTGTTTCCGCTGTGCACACAGCAGGGCAGGTGGCGAGTGTTCAGCTTTGTACCAACTGACACCCTCACCTGAAGCCCTGGAGCCGCACAGCGACTGGGAAAGGCCTTCACAGTGGAACCACCTGGGCCCACCTCCCCGTGTGAGTGCCATGCGCATGCCAGGGGCCAGCCTGGCCTGCCGAGGGCACACCCTCGATCCCAGCCACCTGCTCACCTTGATGTCACGGTACACCACGTCCCGTGAGTGCAAGTACTCGAGAGCTGAGACGATCTCTGCACCATAAAACCGGGCCCGCTCCTCTGTGAAGACACGCTCCCGGGATAAGTGGAAGAACAGCTGCAGGGGACAGGGGAAGGTTAGACCCCAGCCTCAGGAAGGGAGGATGGCCCAGCACCCAGTCCCATGACAGAGTGACACCTGCTCCCTGAACAGGCAGGACATCAAGAGGCACCAAGTGAGGGGTGGTGAAATAACAGCTCACACAAAGAGAAAAACCAAGCAAGGGATGAAAAATAAGGGGCAGTCAGCAGGTGCCCACAGAAAGATAAGGAACAGGTGAAGGAATCGGTGACAGCAGGGAGACAGGCATGTCACAAGCAAGTGACAGAACATGCTGAGCAAGACCAAGTCAGACAGATATGACCACATCCCGGTCAGTCACATGTGTGTCCAGAGGGTAAGAGGAGGAGCAGGGGACAAGAGCAAGCATGAGCCACTCAGTGACAGAGTGGCTGGATCAGTCTGCACAGGGAGGACCTGGGGTCAGAGGGCTGGTGCATCTTTACCTTCCTAACAACATCCTTCCTCTCATTGTCGGCTGACCGCCCCACAACCTCTGCCAACCCCTCTGCACCTGGGTTTGGATTCTGCCCTGAAAACTCTCTCAACAGCTGTGTGAACTTGGGCAAGCCATTTAACCTCTCTGAATCTCAGTTCCCCACCTGCAAAATGGAGATGATGCCATCTGGCTCAAAGGAGCAGGGTGGGGGGTGAGGGCGGAACCCAGTGATAGGAAGCCTCCATCTGTCCCTTCCATCTCACCCAGATCCTGCCCCCATACTCTGGAAGGAGACCCCCACATGCAAGGCCGGTGGCTGGGGCTTACCTCACCCCCGTTGGCGTACTCCATGACGAAGCACAGGCGGTCGTGGGTCTGGAAGGCATACTTCAGCGCCTGAGGGAGGAGGGTACAAGGGCCACTGGGGTCAGAGGGGGGAAGAGAGCTCTGCCTAGTCCAGGAGGAGAAAGCAGTTTATTCTACCTGTACACACCCGCCCTGGCCTGGGCTGCTGTCAGGCAGGTGAGTTCAAATCCCAGGCACCAGTGAGGGATAAAGTGTGTTCTAGGCAAGCAGGATTTGTCTTCCTTCTTGTTTTAACAGTAAGTGTGTTAATAGCTCTCTCTCTCTCTCTCTCACACACACACACACACACACACACACGATGCACACTGGGGCTAGGCACAGCAGTGACTTTAAAGCCAAGTCTAAAGACAGGGTGAACAAGCTGTCAGCCAACCAACAGGTCCCAAGCTGTATGTAAGGAGCCCTCCAGGAGGTTCCTCAGGTCACCTTGGACACCTCTCTGCTCGAAACAACTCTGCAGTTCTGTCTTCCACACTGAGGCACCTCCTAAGATGACATGAACAACACTACGGCTGCACAGGCTACCTGCACAACTAAGCAAGAATCGGCACAGAAACCACCCTCCATCTAGTTCTCCTAACTGATACCCAATGGCCTTGATGGAGACTGCAGCCCTAAGACACCTCCCTCCCCCAAAGAGGGGTCCACTGGGCCAAGGCAACAGGCAATATAATGACCACACATCTGCTTCCATGATACCTCAAAACCAAAATCAAAATCAAAAGTCTTTCCATTTGGACCAGGCAGGTTGGTTCTGCCCATCCACAAAGACAGCTCTGTGCTCTCCCAGGGCTGTCCCACATCATGAACCGCCACCTCTGAGGAAAGTGCCACCCTGCATCAGGGCCTTGATTCAGACAATATGGGGAGCACACTGAGGCTGTGCTCTGTAGTGGGAGGTTTGGACTCTCCCTGAACTCTGCAAAATGGGCTGGCCTGGAGCCCCACCACCCACTGCCATCTGAGAAGGGGGGTGACTCACAGTGAGGAAGGGGTGCCTGGTGTTCTGGAGGACCCGGCTCTCAGTGACGGTGTGAGCGACTTCATCCTGCAGACAGAGAGTGTGGGTGAGCAGTTGTGACCACACACACCCCAGCCTGAGGCCTGGGGGAGTAGCACCTGAGTAAGACCAATTCCATTCTTTGCCATCAAAAAAAAAAAAAAAAAAAAAGGACCCAGATATGGACAGTCAGCAGCTCTCAAAACTACAAGAAGAGTTGATTGAGATTCTACAACAGGAGGGGCTAGGATCTTACAAAGGCTGGGCTCAACCCTCAGTCAGTCTCTCTCTCTCTCTCTCTCTCACACACACACACACACACACACACACACACACACACTCTCACACGGGAAGCCGCTGCTCTGGACTGAGCTCCTGCACTAGGCTCTAGTAGAGTCACTCATACCAAATGTCACATGATCAAATGGAATGTTAAGAAAGCAGCTAGATTCCAAAACAGACCATTATTCCTAAAAATGGGAGATTCCAGTCTACCTGAATCAACATGAAAAGAAAGTCCTCGCTGCTTTAACCCCTACAAAAGGAAGTATGAGGTAATTTGATGTTACCAGGTCCACTTCTTTTTAATGGTGTTTCCTTGTTCCCTGACAACACTCACTGCTCTGCCGTTGCCCAGTGGGACTTCTCCCTCTATTTCACAGAACGGAGGTGGCCTCAGTTAACAGATCACAAATAAAAGCTAGTAAGACCTCAAACTACATGAGCTGTTATTTTGTCTCCTGAAACCCCCAAGGAAGCCAGTGCACGGCCACGAGGATCCACCTTGGCAATGATGACCTCCTTCCGCAGGATCTTCATGGCGTAGTAGCGGCCAGTAGCCTTCTCCCGCACAAGGATGACTTTGCCAAAAGTGCCCTTGCCGAGGAGTTTGAGATAGTCGAAGTCATTCATGGTCTGAGGGGAGGGAAAAAGCAGGGGCAGTCAAGGACCTGGCAATCGGCCATGGAAGGAAATCCTTTAATAAGGAAAGGGGAAAGATACCACTACAGGAGCAGGGAGGGAGCTCTGGGCAGCAGCTCTGTTCTGAAGGGGCTATGGCCAGGCACTCCCAGGCACAAGCTATGCGGGGCAGGCCTGGAGCTCTGAATGGGGCCGCCTAGTCTTTACAACCCCCCAGGACGAGTCCGTGGCAGCTCTGTCCATGGTTGCCCCTCACCCCAGGGCCAGAGAAGCCCTGTACCATCCATAACTTGGAACCACCCCATCTTGCACAGCATCTATGAAGTCTCTCCAGAGACCCCTGCACATCTGCATGAAAACCAAGGGAGGCTGGGTTGGTCAGCCCGCCCCAGGCCACCTGCCCCCAGCGCGTACCACTTTGGCCCGTGCTTTGCTGACAGCCACTTCCATCTCCTCGGCTGTGGAAGAGTCACTGGGGGAACCACACTTGTAGTCCATGGGGTCCTCGCCAGGGCCCCGCTGCTTGAGGCTGTTGGCGACCATTTGGATGGCCCGCATCCACTCCTCCCTGTGTGGGGACACACAAGTCTTAGACCTTGACTGGGAAAGCAGACGGCTACCTCGCAGCCCAGACACACCGCCTCCAATGGGTGAGCAGATGGGCAAACCTCTTTGGGAGCTTTGGAGAGATCTAAGACAGGTTGAGCTGACAGGATCCGACTGAAACTTCACAGACCTCTGACTGTGGAGGTGGGAGAGTCAAGAGTGGAATAAAAGAGAGGTCACCCATCGCCCAGGAGTGGCCTGGCCTGAGGGTCCTGTGCAGACAGGTAGCACTGAAATGATCAAAGTGGGCTGACTACTTTTGTTCACAGCCCCTTGAAAAGAAGCCACCAACTTGAACCCTGAATGAGGGAGCCTGTGCTCCTGAGCTGCTCAGAACACACGAGCAGCGCAGGTTTACAGGTCTCAACTGTTTTGTGAAGCAAAACCAAGAGTAAATTAAGCACTCAAGCACCAATGCAGCTAAAGAATTCACAGGGAGAGCTGGCCAGCAGAACTCCCTGGAGGGACTGGCTGCTGAGGTAGAGTGTGGGGGCTGCAAGGCAGGGACAGAAAGAGATGGAGGAGAAGTGGTCTCAGCAGAAAGGACCTGGTTTGAAAACAATAAATTGGCTTTGTCACTCATGATTTAGTTGTTGGGAGCAAATTTTCTTTTGATACTTGCAAACTGTTCTTTGTCTAGTTAGTGGAAATGACCACAGACCAAAAAGAAAAAAAATATTAGGTTTAATGACACTCAATTGTTCACATCCCCCCATTTCTGACTCACCACACAGCAATTCTAGTGGTTCAACCTAACATATTTTGAACCCCCATGTATTACGCTTATGTCTAGAAATCAGCCACGTGACCAGCGGGAAATAGAAAACGTTCACTAAGAATGAGACAATTCAGAGAGTAAGCAGGCAGCCTCCCAAATTCCGAAAACTGAAAGAAGCCACGGTGTGTGCAGCCAGCGCTGGCAGAAAGCCACCAAGAACCAAGAGCGGCCGAGTTCTTCATGCACACGCATCCTCTAGCTGCCCTCCACCAGCCTCTGTCCCACGGCATCAAGCAGGGCCACTTCCATACCTATCAGCCCAGCAATGCATTTCCCATGTTTTGACACTGCTGGAACACAGAAGTGTCTTACAGTGGCAGCCTCTCTCCACTTAATTGGGCACTGCTATTTTTTGGTATTATAAACACTCAGAGAGCACTCACTGTTATTCACCACCCTCTCCTCCTTTCTTTCAAAGGAGGAAACTGAGGCACAGATTAAAAAATCAAAAGTAAGAAAAACATGGCAGCTGCTCCAAGCCTGGCCGCTGGACTCCCACTGGACTTGAGGCCTTCCCCAGGGCCAATGGGCAAGACAGTTCTTGCCCAGATCTGTGGCTTGCTGAAGCAAGCTGGAACTAAGCTCAGAGATGCCCGTTAGTGCACAGGAGGCTCTTCCTCCTCAAACTGGCTTCACTCCCCTGAGACCATGCTTTGTAAGATGAAGGTGAGTATCCACCATATCATGTTTTGAAACAGATACACAAACATCAAGTGTTGGCACATGGCCCCTTCCCACCCAAGAAAAGTCTGGGGTCCCCATAACCCATATATGTCAACCCCACGAGGAGCTTTGAGTGTGGTATGCCTCCTGTACCTGTACAGGTGTTCAGTAGGTATCTAAGTAATGAACAAGCAAGGCAGCCAAAGTCTGAGTGGCCCCAGGGCCTATGCACAGCAAGGCCACTGCACACCCAGGCAGAGTGGGGTTGGCCTCTTCCCTCCCTGACCCAGCACTTCTAGCCAGCATTTCTCAACTGGTTTTAACCCATGCTCCCTTTGGAACAAGTCACAGCCTAAAGCCCAATGCCTATATTAATTTCCCTGTTTTCAGAAAAAAAAAAAAAAGGGAAAGAGTAGGGACACATCCTATGATATGCCTTGTCAATCACAGCTGTCATAGAAATTTTAAAATCGTAGATAAAAAACAAAGTCACACAGGCAGGCACAGTGGGGCACACCTGTAATTCCAGTGACTCAAGAGACTGAGACAGGAGGATCACAAGTTCAAACTAGCCTTGGTAACTCAGTGAGACCCTGTCTCAAAATAAAAATAAAAAAGGCTGGGAAGATGGCTCATTGGTACAGTACCCTAGATTCAACCCCAGACTGCAGAAAGAAAATCACAGATCTCCTAAAGGATACGAACAGTGTGATCATACATACAACCTCATGGAGAGAAATTTTGAGATTGTGAAAAAAGCTGGCTACAGATTAAGACCCACAGTGTGATATCAACTTTCTGACAAAGAGAGGGATGGAGTGAACACAGCACCCCAGAAGCAACTCTGAGCCTGGCAGATCAGCTGTACGGGTGTCCCATCCTTTCCAGCCTCATCCCCGCCTCAGCACAGCAGCTGCTGAAGCAGGGCGGACTGCCTTGTGGAGAGCAGCAGGCCCAGGGCCTGGTCCAGGAAGCACCAGCCTCGGGGAAGGTGTGAAGGCAAGGCGTGGGGCCAAACCGATCCACCAAGGATGAAGGAGGTGGATGCGGGTAACTGAGGCCCTCCCCAGCGCTGACCAGCTGCCGGTCCAGTTCCAACTGGACTGAGGTTACAAGCTTGCAGCACTCAGAATTCCAGAGAAAAAGTAAGAGCCTCTGTCCAGGACACTCCTCAAAGGTTTCAACACAGTGTCTGGGGCAGAGGGGAGCTTCTACCCAAAGCTGGGGCTAAAAGGAGAGCTCTTAAGGAAACCAACCCCCTCCCTGGTTAAGAGTCACAACTTAGGAAAGTAACAGCAGTGAGTGTGCAGCTCCACAGCCACAACCTCAAGAGCATGGGAAGGAAGGGTTCTGACATGGAGATGGAGGCACAGAGAGGTAGATCACCTGTGGAGGTTACACAGCTGGAGACAGCAGAGCTGGGACTCAGTGCCAGGCAACCCATTCTTCCCTAGTCCCCACTGCCTTTCCCTGTGCTGGGGGTCTGAGTGTCAGACTTGAGAGAAGCTGAGGAAAGCTCCAGCCTTACTTCCTAGAAGAGGTCCAGGAGAATCAAGCAAAGATACTCTCGGGCAGGTCCACGGACCAAGGGACATCATACCAAGGGACCTTGAAGCCAAGCAAACTGATGCCTCCCCTTGGAAGCTGTGAGGTGGACCACATTCCAGAGGAGGCCTCTCCCACTGGACACCACCCCCAGACACCCTCCACACAGGCAGCCACCATGATGCTGTGAGAAGTAACACCTTTAACCCTCCCAATGACCAAGGCAGCAGAAACTGTGATCCACGTCATGCTACAAATAGGGAAACTGAGGCACAGGGAGGCTGATGTTTGCTCACTTACACAGCCAGTAAGCAGAGGCCTGGGAACACCAACCCAGGCATTCCTTCTTCACCCAGGAGCACTTCTCCCATCAGGGGTATCTTCCAGAACCTTCTCATCCTCACTTGGGTTTCAGGGCCAAGAATATATGGGGAGCTACATTTGCCCAAGCGGCACTAGGGAGGGCGTCACGTGTACAGCATAGGAGCAGCACTGGGCAGCTGGGAGCCAAGCCTTGAATCCATGTGGCCCTCACTGGCCCAACCTCTCCAGTTGTTGTCTGCCTCCCACATAAAGCACGGGTCACACAGTAGCTAAGAGCAGACTCTAGTGCTGATGGCCTGGGTTCAAACCAGCTCTGCCTCTTCCTTCAGGAGATGCTGGGCAGGTCATCTAACATTCATCAGCGAGCTGATCTGTAAAGCAAGCACTAGTGGTTCACACAGGGGAGATGTGAGCTGCTGGACACGAAGCACAGAGGAAGTGACTCAATGGATTGTTGTGAGGATTCACCTTGCCAGCCAGTCAATGTTTACCAAGTGCCTCCTACAAGCCAGGCCTTGTTTGGGTGCTAAGGATGCAGCAGGAAACAGCTCACTAGAGTTCCTAGTCTAACGGGGGAAGCCAACTGTGTAAAAATACAGCAGTTTGGCTGGGGTTGTGGCTCAGTGGTACAGCATTTGCCAAACATGTATGAGGAACTGGGTTTGATTCTCAGCACCACATATGAATAAATGAATAAAATAAAGGTCCATCAACATCTTAAATTAAATTGCACATTCTTCTGCTGGGCGTGATGGTGCATGCCTGTAATCCCAATGGCTTGGGAGGCTGACACAGGAGGATTGCGAGTTCAAAGCCAGCCTCAGCAATGGCTAGGCACTAAGCAACTCAATGAGAACCTGTCTCTAAACAAAACACAAAATAGGGCTGGGGATGTGGCTCAGGGGTCAAGTGCCCCTGAGTTCAATCTCCAGTACAAAAAAAAAAAAAAAAATTGCATGTTCTTCTGAGTATTGTGATGAACTCTCAGGTTATATCCCACCTAGCAGGACATGAATCATCTCTGTCCAATGTATCCATGCTGTATATGCTACCCACCCGTATGTCACTTAGTAGCCTCTTGGCTACTACAGATCAAATGTAGCAGTACCAAAGTATTTGTGTTCAAGTAAGCCTTCTAGAGTGCTCTAACACATCACTACAATGCCTAGGTCAGTCACTTCATTTTATTTCATCATGTAGGCACTGGGTCATCCTCCAAAATCATCATGAGAAGAAGGGTGAGTACAGTAGTACAATAAGATATTTTGATTGGGCTGGGATTGTAGCTCAGCGGTAGAGCGCTCGCCTAGCACGGACGGGACCTGGGTTCGATCCTCAGCACCACATAAAAATAAAGGCGGTGTGTTATGTCCATCTACACCTAAAAGATAAATATTTTAAAAAAAAAGATATTTTGAGAGAGAGACCATATTCACATAACTTAATTTTGGTACAACAGATTGAACCCAGGGTACTTAACCACTGAGCCACACCCCAGCCCTTTTATTTTGAGACAGTACCTCGCTAAGTTGCTTAACAGCCTCCCTACGTTACTAAGGCTGCCTCTGAACTTGCTATCCTCCTGTCTCAGCCTCCTGAGCTGCTGGGATTACAGGCATGTGCTACCACACTTTTATAACATAATGTAACTT